GGGCCCAAGGTCTCACCCAGCCCTAAAATGGACCTTGAGGGGCCGACTGGGCTCAAATGGGACAATGCTGAGGGTTCAGCTCTGTGAGAGGGGGGAAAGGGGAGAACCAAGGTAGGCAGCACCACCCCTGCCAGGCATCCCATTTATCCTTTGCCTTTGGAAGGATTTGGGGGGAATGAGAGCTTGCTTTGAGGCAGCACAGCAGAAGCAGGAGGAGAGGGAAGGCAAGGGGAGCTGCCAGGGCAGTGGGAGAGGGAGCAGGGAGTGCTGTGACTGCAGATGAGGAGCCGTGCATGAGCAATGACGAGGCGGCGCTTTCAAAGCAGGACCAACTGTGGGGTTCAGAGATGTTCCAGACTCCTGCAGGGCCCAAGACAAATGTTGAAAGCCAGAATTCCCAGAGGGTCTTTCTGTTTTCTTTTTTAGAAATAATAATAATAATAATAAAAAAAAAGAAGATCTACCTGTCAAATCTTATCATGTGAAGAGCTGAATTAAGGAAGGCAAGACTTAATGGGCTTTCTTCCCTAAAAATAGATCTTCTCATGAAAGAGATGAAGGGCATTGCCCAGGGAGGTCAGCCAAAATTGTCTGAAATTATGCTATCACCTACATCTGATGTCCAAAATTAGCCTCCTCTCTCACTCTGCGAGTTCAGTGCTCCCTGAAGATTAAACGCACCACAACACTCATTTAATTTAAAAGAGAGGCTAAAACATATGGCAGGCCATGGTTTAAATGGTTTAAATGTTAGAAAAATTCATCCTGGGACTTTTCATTATGATTAGTAACATGGTAATGAGGGCAAGGGGGGAAGGAGTGTGTGCAGGGCTGTGTGGGGAGCCTGGGCAAGGCTGCGGGCAGGAATTGGGGACGGTGCTGGCAGGAATGGAAAGGACCTGAACCAGAGCTGCTCTCCCCATCCAGAACCAGCCTGATCTTTTTTCAGAAGAGGAAGGAAGATGATTTGCCTTAAATAATTCTCCAGCCTCCAGTGCGTGGGTGTTTTCTGGGCTCTGTGATTAAGAGAGAGCGTTTGAAAGCAATGGGATAGGAACCTCATTTAAAGACAGTGTGCTCCTTTCTTTTTTTTTTTCCTCCTTTTTAATTAATCTGAGGTTGCTACCGGAATGGAGTAGTTGGATGAAGGTGTTTGAGGAACATGAGGTTAATGGAAGGTGAAAGAGGAAGGGAATACAGCTGCCAATGTGAGGCAGGCAGAATGTGAACCAGCAGATGCTCCAGCCCAGCTGACTCATGGCTTTGGGGGGAATAAACTCCCAGGGCAGGGGGAGGAAACAACCTCAGGGAGACCTGAGAAAGGCTGGGGGCAGCTGGAGATGCTCCTGATGCCAGCACCTGGGGGAAGGAGGGGATTTTATGGTACTTAGCATCCTCCCAGTAGTGGCGCCTTTCAAAGTACCGTATGGTGACTCTCTAGGGGATTTTATTTTTTATTTATTCCATGATCTCAGGGGCAGTTTTTGGATGTTTTGCACCCTTTGAGCCAGGGGATGCCATAATTCAGGGCAGAGAGAGAACACAAAAATATTTCACTGTGTTTGCTGTGATCAACCCAGGCCAGCAGAGAGGCCCAGGAGCGAGGGCTGGGAGGTTTTGTGCATCCAAATGCAGCCTGGTTTTTGCTGAAGAAAACCAAATGCAGGCTCCCAGGGTCCTTGTCCCCATCAGAGAGGAGAAGCAGCCCTGCAGCTGTCCCTCCCCACTCAGCCCATCCCCACTCCCCACTGCTTCCAGCCTTGGCTTGGGATGGAGCAAGACCATTGTGGCCGGTGGCCACACGCCCCAGCAAATTCCAGCTGTGAAACACTTGGGAAAGTGTTTCTTTTTCCCAAAAAAAAAGCACCTCAGGGCTTGCTGATGATTCCCAGCCTCCAGGCTTCACATCCCAAACGCTCCCAAGGACTGTTAAAGGTCCATCAACACATTTGGGCTGGGCAGTGGCTGGGGCTGTGTTTTTGTTGGATGGTCACACAGGGCTTTGAAGCTCCTCTGGCCACCACTCACCCCGGCAATTATCCACCACAGGCTGAGGCCACCTACCTCTGTGGGTGCTCTGGGGCTGCAGGAGCCTTTCCAGGCTGCTTTGAAGACAAAATAATCGCTCTAAGTGTTAAGAATTAGCGTGATTTGAGCGCGTGGAGTGGTTGGGGAGCACTTGCTGCACAGCTCAAGCCCTGCTCAAGTTTGCTCCTGTGGAGCAGAGCTCTTGTTATTGATGCTTCTCCTCTGGAAGGACCCAAATCTGAACATTTTGGGTCCTACCTCTGGAAAAGGACACAAATTTGGGACATTTTGGGTCCTTCTTCTGGAAAAACGACACAAATTTGGGACATTTTGGGTCCTTCCTCTGGAAAAAGACCCAAGCAAGGATATTTTGCATCCTTTCTCTGGAAAAGGACCCATGACAATATTTTGGATCCTTTCTCTGTTAAAGGACCCGAATTGGAGCATTTTGGGTCCCTCCTCTGCAAAGATCTAACGCAGGATATTTTGACACCACAAGCAGCTCTGCGGGCACCTTTTTCCTGCATGAATTTGCATGGTTTTTGTTAAACCTGATAAACTTCAGCTAAACTTTAAAAAACCCCCCACTTGGGTCAAAATAAGGTTCTTACTCCCTCTCAATCTTCTGTACTGTGTAAAAAAAAATTTGGTAGGATGTTACTTTCAAGCTGCAAGAGCAGAACTTTCCCACGCTGCCTCTCCATTTAGCAGGGAACATGCCAGACCTGTAATCACCATCTTTATCCCAAGACAAGCTAAAAAACAAAATGTTTCTGAACTGCTGAAGGTAGGTGAACATTTTTCAGAGTGTCACATATTAAGGTGGTGTCTAACGAGCTCCATGTCCCACTTATAATTGAAACAGAAGAGAGTATTCACTTTTCATTCATTTTAAAAAGACTATTCAAATACCCTTTCATCTCCACTAAACAGCCTGCCATGTATTTGAAGCCATTTTATATATTGTTTCTACAGACATCCAAAAAAACAGAGGTGAGTATTTTGGAACATTGATAGAAAGATGCAAAGGCTTGTGAGGCACTGAATGGCTTCAAGCTGCCTCAAACACATTCATCTTCCCAAGAAGAATTAGGCACAGTGTGATTCATTTTAATAGCAGAAGAAAAATAATACTACGATGTAGTGCTAAGTTCCCAACCTTTGATGGTAGACTAAAAAAAGAGAGAGAGGGGGAAAAAAAAAATCTTTCTTCCCTTATGTTGTTGAAGTCTCCCTACACCCATCCGTTATGTCCAGCTTATCAATTAAGATGAACCCCATGAACTTCAGATGGTTTTTTTAAAACAAGGCACCATCCATTTAAATGTGTAAAACTGCCTGCAGCTCCCTTGAACTGCAGGATTCAGTCCCCAGCTCTGTGTACTCAGTGTGAAGTTGAGCCCTTTGATACAAGTTTTACTGATGTTTTAAATGAAGTCTTCTCAAACACACAAAATAACCCAGATAATTTAAAACCTCATAGAAAAAAATAGGGTGGAGAGAGGGGAGGAAGGAAAAAAAAAGAAAGCCCTAGTCAGTGCCATTGGTGAGGCAGAAGCAAAGGGTTGGCCCTGGTTACCAACAGGACAGACCAAAAGCTGCTCCACAATTGCCTTCCCAGCATTTCTCATTGAGCCAGGAAGGTCTGGGTGACAGCTGGGAGACAAACCCATGGCATGGGCAGCTCCCCTGAGGAACAAACTGAGCCTGCTCAGCTGTGAAAGAGGTGCTGTGCCCCACCAGGACAGGGAAGGAGCTCCCAGTGCCTGTCCTGCCCAGCAAACCTCGCCCAGCTCACCTTGAACAACGTGGACACCTGAGCTGGGCTTTACAGAGCTGGGCATGGCCCTGAACGTCACAAAGCTGAGTTTACTCTGCCATGGGATGCAGGGCGGCATTCCCAGCTCAATCACACCTGGGCAGGGCTGTGACCATCCCCAAATCCCAAAGCCAAAGCCACCA